GTATAATCATTATAAGTTAATTTACAGTTAAATATTTGAAAACATGTCTTCACATCGCTTAGGCCTGTTTTATACGTCGAATTTTGGTCACGTCGAATGCATGCAATTAAAACAATAGTTAATGAATAAAAGAAAGAATGAAAGAAAGAAAGAATGAAAGAAAAAAAGAAAGTTTTGAAGTAATAAATTTACGTGTTGTTTCCAGAAACAAAACTATTATATTTTATCACCATGCAAACATACAAAGAACTTATACCGTATTTACTCGATTGAGCGCCGCCCCCGATTAAGCGCCGCCCCCAAATGAGCGCCGCATTTGAGATCATTTTTTTTTAAAGAGCGCCGCCTCCGAATGAGCGCCGCATTAAACAGTGTAATAATTTTCCGCCGTCAAAAGGGGGACATTTTGTGACAAAGACATTTAAAACTTCTTTATTTTTATTGTTAAAAGTTCTTGATATATTTCACAAATAAAATATTTTTTTAAAGAGCGCCGCCCCCGATTGAACGCCGCCCTCGAATGAGCGCCGCATCTGAAGCTCTGAAAATTTAAAGAGCGCCGCGGCGCTCAAACGAGTAAATACGGTAATAGATAATGAGATTATGAAACAAATGATAGCGATATTACATTTATTAAACGACGTTTCGATGCTACAGCGTGTATCATTTTCAAGTTATAGTAATTACATATATTGCGTTGATTTTAATTAAACCGTTCGTGTCACGTTAGCAAATTACTGCGTAAGCATGCAAAATTTAAATTTATATTACGTAATAAATTACATTAAAAACTTAAAACAGATTAAACATATTCCTGTCTTTCATAAATGTATCAAACATGTATACAAACAACAACAAACAAACATACTAAAACAAAACAAACATAAAGCCCATTAATTATAGGACTATTAAGTATAAAGTTTTGAACGAATCGAGTCCGATTGAGTGTTCAAGGACGGCGATAGTTCCTTAATATACAGCATTTCGTATAGAAGACACTCATAC